TGAGAACATTACGAACTGCCGAAGCCAAATTACGCTACATTGCCCTCATGTGAAATGACGTCTTCTCGAGATTTGTCCCTTGAGGGCATTTCGATTTTGAACCGTCCATTACTGCACGTATCCTTCAAAACAAAATTCACCGATTTTCAAGGTTTTGAAGTTGAATTCAATGAATTTCCTCTAAAAACCAATTTACCTAAGTTCACGTGTCCGTATGAAGGGGCCTGTCAACGTTTGTACTAGGCGACGCATGGGAACCGCGTCGTATACGTAATGGGCAGTGCCATCATACCTAAAAAATGCAAAGTGCCAAGAATTATTACTACTGCAAACCCCTAAAACCAAAACACGTCCTTTCTTCTCTACAGTATTGAAAAAAAATGTTGCGTTCTTTTACATGAGTGCATTGAGTTCACACGTTGTTGATTCTTTTTAGGCAATATGCAATTGATTTGTCGTGAATAGTGGTATATGAGGGATTTTAAACATCGCCAATATCAAAACGAGTTACACCTTTTTCTAGATTTAACACCTAGAGTATTCTCTTCCCTTAAGATGTGCAGGCAACATTACATAGAGGCTCAGTTTTATTGGTTGCACTACATGATATGCAGGTGAAACTTTTAGTTCAGTCGGCGCCAACAAAGGCAGCAGGAAGGACTGAAGAGCGTGAAAAGGTGAGGAATATTTCAACAGTGGCTCTACCCATTCGCAACATGGAAGGACTGTAATAAATACCAAGGAATACCAATTACCGCCAAGCGCGACAGATAAGGCAACGCGGTTGTTTGGAGTATCCTTAAAATAAAAGTTATTGGCGTCTACGTGCCCAGTTTCTCCCTTCCCTCGTTCTGCATTCCTTCTTTGCTTTACACTGTTCCCACATGGGCTGGTCGAACAAGTCAGTAACCTTTCATTGTGTTGTAAAAATATTCACTTTGCTCCACCATGACCGAGGCTTATTGTATACCGATCAATAGAGCAGTTACCCTTCACGTAACTATGACCGTTAGTGACTTCTCTTCGTGTACTTTTAAAATAAATTTAATTTCCCATTCATTTGGTTTGGCACATCATATTTTGCAGACCTTATTTGACCATAAAAAGCGTGTTCTCTCTAGATATTGTCTTGATTGAAGTCTCTGACTTCTGAATGCCAGGACCCTGAATTTTAAAGTCTGAAGTGCTTGTTCAGAAAATCTCTTGACGACAGAATATTTGTGAAAATGGCCCGACCCTGCCATGGAATTCGAACAGCCAGACTGGCAGAACAGTAACCGGCATAGGAGTTTCGATTGTGGTGGACGCGAGGTTGCATCAAGGTAGAAAGAAAGTCCTAGGCCCTCTCAATGGACCGACTTCAAATACATGGGATGCCAAATTAGCCAATCCCTTTGCTGACCGTCCCATGGGAGACAGCGCCATAACCTCGCCTCTCAGTCCATATGCGCTCTGGCAAGTCCACAATGCGCTAGTCTGCGGCTGCCAGCCAATCGAAGTTGCAGCCTCCCTTCTCACACTATTGCTTATCCAATCGCTTTGCAGCAGGCAGAGGAAGGCGAGTGGTGAAGGCAGGCCAACAAATGCACGCGCGACCAGCCATGCGTTTCGCGTCCGCAGCAGCGCAAGTTGGTCAATACCATTGCCTGC